CAAACTACTGTTATTCGTTTCAAATGGTATGAAAACATAAAAGTTTGCATTACTACAAAAAAAAAAAAAAAAAAAAAAAAAAAAAAACTAACCACCGATTGGATGTGGAAATTTAAGTTCAGTTCTTGCATAAGGCTTCAAAGAATATTCGTGTATCATGTGCATTTCCCTCCCATCCAGCCCATGCAAACGTAAAACACATAATAAAATCACAAACTGCCATAATATTTTGCGTTGCATATCCTTTCCTACCAATGTATTTTGCTTGCTCATGCTCTCGAACCGATGCCCTTACGTGTGTCCCATCGATAGCACCAATACAATCCTACACATATAAGTAAAATAATTTATTAATCTATGAGTATGTTACGGTTAAATACAAAGCAAAATATAGGAAGTACCTTGAACATTAAATAATAACGAGAGTTATTTAAAATATGTGCGGGTACATCTTCATTGTAATTTGCATTTGGCTTTATGATGTCCGCACTTAACTTAAGCACGGTTTTCAAAACAACATGAAAATGCCTATGAATAGTCTCTCCAGAATGATTAAAGGTTTCTTGAATTAACCTATTCCCACACCCATGTGCTAAAGTCATCAAGAAAATACCAACAGACTCCTCAATACATATATTACGTGTTGGCTTTTACCCGTAACGTGTAGCAAGATTTGAACATAACATTTTGAATACTGGGACATGTAGTCTGAAATCTTCGTAGCAACGTCTAGGATGACCGTTAAGTACTTCATTAATAAATATGTTTCCTGTCCGAGAAGATCTACGGCAAGGCATACGCGTGCTACTCAATTTATGACTTATTATTATCCCTTTGATAGCTATTGCACATGATAGTAGCAATCTGTTCTCCTCTTCCATCCAATTTATTTCATTATCATCACTCGAATCAGAGTCATCACTATCCATCCTATTAATAGATAAAAAAATCAAACATATTAAAAAGGCATATAAATAGGATAGATAATATTAAACGACATACATAATGTCAAACGATAATACAAGATATGAAACCAGTTGAAAACATAATATCACAAAATTAAACGATAATACACGATATGAATCATTCTTCCATAAGTAACTTAAGAAACTCCATCCTTGCCATGTGTGTCTTTGGAACCATAAAATTTTCACGGACTTGCTTTTTTAGGAAGATGCGTAATGCTTGGCTATACATCCTTGAACCTTCTTCAAATACGTGTCACGATGTCCATGCATTCTTGTGTCGTTGGTGAATAATTATTCTATGATGAAAAACTTTGTGTGCTTCGTGATGATAGTGCCTCCAATACAGTATCTAGTTTATCCTCAAATGAGGAAGTTACAGAAGATTTTCCCTTGGTTGAACGGGTAGGTGCGACATTATTCAGTTTCTTCCTCTTACTCGAACTACTTTGCGGAAAAAGAAGTTTATCATCGTCGCCTAAATTCACTTCATCACTATCTCCTTTCCCCTCATGATCTTCTTCATCTTCAACATTAGTTGGACCACTATTGTTTTGACATTCAAAGGGAGCCTTAGTCTTATCTCTAACGGCAACGGAATCCCGGAACAAAGGCTCATAATACACTTGATAAATATTCAAATTTATGTCTCTAAACTTGGCAAGATCTTTATCTCCCTGTGTGTTAATGGCTCTTATTAGCAAATTTCACTAGGAACTCATAAAAAAGTAATAGCAAACAAAAGAATATATATAAAATAGTAACTATTACCTTTATTTTTTCGTCCCACCACTCTGGTGATGCAACAATTGTCTTTCTCGCGGGATCCCATCCAATGCCAGATTCAATCCTCATTAAACGATCATACAACTTCCATTCTTTCTTCATAGTGTCCCATTTGTTTTTAAGTTGCTTCTTGTCAAAAGATTTTCCTGTCCGTTCCTTAATCTTCTTCTCTATGTTTCTCCACCCAACCTTATTGAAGTGACTACCAAGTCTATTCCCAAGTTTAACCTCATTCATGCATAAATCAATGAACACCATAAAGGTAGTATTATCCCAAACAAGTTTTGGCTTATTCTTTTTAGATGTATCACTAGCAACAACGGGAGCATTGTTCGCGTCCATTACCTGAATAACAAAGTTAATAAAAAGACCACCAATGTATTCAGTTTCCATTATGTTGTATAAATGAGTTCCAGTAGCAATCCTCTAGCACTATATTCTTAAATCCTTTATTTCAAAATATCCTAAAAAATAATTAGGACGCCCATAAGCATGGTCCTATAAACTTAAGCCTTGTGATGTAATTTTCACAGTGTTTTTATTGTAAAAATTCGGCTTTTTTACATTTACGACGTTTTGCTGTAAAGTTTCAAGTGCAAAAAAAGGTTTTATGTGATCCCATCTATCTATACATGTATATATATTTTCAATGATTACGAAAATCCAATAAGCTGAAACCCATTTGTTTAGAGAAAATAATTGAGATTTGAATGAAGTATTTAGGGATGGGGGAGTTTTTGGATGATCTTATTATGGGATATTTCCTACAGCAACCCAATTCATATTCTAATCCCCTAAATCAATGACATGCTATACAAAACTTGGCAGCCTACTTGACAGCAACCCAATTCATATTCTAATCCCCTAAATCAATACCCTATCTCTACTAATATTTTATGTTTTTATGTGGTAATATAGCTGCTTTATTTTGTTGGTACTGGTAATGATGTTCTACAATGTAATTTGATGTTTCTCTATCTTTTGATTTGTTATTTGTCTAAATAAATATCATATATAAAGACTGGTTTAGGCGTTTTGACTTGTGGAAACTTAACAATTTGCAGGTAGGTGGGAGACGTGAACATAAAATGCAGTGCTTTTGAGTTTATCAGTCATGTCTAAACTTATAAACATAAGCTATATAGGGAGGGAGGATTCAGTAATAGGATGCTTAGCATTTGCAATCTTATGTGAACTTACTACTCATGGATACTTTAACAAGTTAGCATTGAACCTCAAAGGTTTTCATATATTTCTTATTGATACAATTGATGGAGAATTCTATCCATATCTTTTTCAACTAAGGGAAGGATAGGAACGATCTCTTAATTTAAAGAACAAAAATTAGGGATAACACCCAAATTTACTTGATCTAGGAGATCTTTGATATGATCACGGAAATCTTCAAATACCAAGAAACATCAATATCCAAAATAAGAACCGAGAGCAGAAGTATGAGAAATTCTTAAGGGGGGATGTGTAACCAAACAATGTTGATCCTAAGACATTGTAAAACCATGGCTTAGAACATGTTGCAGTTAACATGACAAGCGTGTAGGTGACAGATCAAAGATGTGAATATAAAGTGCAGTGCTTCTAAGTTTACAAGTCATGTGTAAACTTATAATTATGTGTTGTGGTTTAAGTTGTAGTACTCTTTAACTCTTCTCAGTATATGGCATGTTCGTATATCCAAAGTTGTAAGGCACTAATGGTCTGCTACACGATTTATAGACAGGTGAAGGTACAACAACATACATGAAAAGTACTTGTGGCCAATAATACGAGATACAAACTAGCAAATAATGAAATACGGAACAGGGAAGATCGATCACTAACCTCGTTATGCAGGAAAACGCAGGGAAGTTTTCTAGGCGACGATGAGACGAATCAAACGGATTCTTGATCGATGATTTCACAGGCAGTAGGAAGCGTATCTGTAGTGGAATCTCTGTTCGTATTGGGTTATCGAT